GCTGCTCAGCGTCCGCAATTATCTGCCTTTAGCAGAGGAGACATGGGGAACGTGGGGCTCAGGCTGGCACCGGCCTCTCTCTGTGCCTCAGTTTCCCCTGTGTAACCGTGCCGGTGTTGTACCATACATAGCCTATGGCACACGCTGGTGTCGGGCTGCACCAGCGAGGCTCGGAGCCCGCTCTCCGTCGGTAACAGCAATGCATGTACCTTTTTTTTTTCCTCTTTCCAGGTGAATATGGCCCTGGCAGGGAAGGCTTTAGACGTGACGCTCAGCACCTCCAGAGCTGACCAGTGGAATATGGTTTTTCCCCAGAAGGACGAAATCATCACCAGCTTAGTGTCTGCCTTAGACTCCATGGTAAGATGCCGGTGGCGTCCCCGTCCCCCTCCTTCCTTTCGCCTCCCTTTAACGGGGCTGGCTGGGGGCAGGGCTGGAGCAGGAGGGCTGTCGGGCTCGTCCCGCTCCCCTCCGCTGCCGGACAGCCCAGGGAGCTGCCAGAGCTGGGAAATAAAAATCCTCTCCTGCCCTGACAGCCGTAAGGATCATAAAGTCAGCCCAAGTTAATCTCAGATGTGTATTGTTTTGCCATTAATATTTATGTTGGTATCATCCGAATATAGGGTGGTTGGTTTTTTTTTTTCTTGATGTTTTACCAATGTTACCGTGAGCTTTTACACAACAGGAGAACAATGGCTTTTATCTCCGAGAACAAAGAAAATAACTTTCATATCTTTTGACGTAGAATTCCCGGTGGAAACCTTGCCTAAGTCAGCCGTGCTTACATAAACAAGATAACTGTCTGGATTAAGTCTCGTGGACCAGAGCTAATCTTATTTTTAACTGTGAATGTGATCAAGAAGGGAAAGTGGGTGTGTAGTAACAAATATCTAATGCAATGCGACGTGCTAAATAGCCCTCCCCTTTTAAAGCCAAGTTGTATTTAACGTATTTATCTTGGATGCGTCTTCTTTTCTACGCAGGTAGGGTTTTTTTTCACACTAATACTAATTTCCTTCTTTTTAACCATCACCGCCCCACTAAGGAGCAGGTTCTCAAAACTGACGCACCCCAAGCGGCTTTGATGATTTATACACGTGCCATCCCGTACAGCAAATCGTGTTATCGTAGTTTGGCTTCCTAATGAATATACATTATTCCGCAGTCCTCGTTACGTGCTGACACCAGGGCTAGGAGGCCAGGCTGCTCCTGAAATTCAGCCTTTATCCCAGCGCTTCACCAGGGCCGCGCTCTGCACCCACTGAAGCCTACCTGCGTGCGTGATAAATAAACCACGGGGCCAAGCGCACGTCACTAAGCGGGATCAGGGTTTGGATTCGGTCTGCCCTCCAAATCTCACATCCCCTAGATTTTATATTTATTTTTGGAGCGTTGGGTATCTTGAGCCAAATACTTCGATTTGCTGCTGGGTTCTTGAAAGGAGGTTTCTTAAAAATAGCTATTTTGGGGGATGTGATTCAATACCCTCTTCTTGAAGAAGATGAACAGGAGGTAAAATGACCCAGTATAGAGACTGGTTTAAGCCCACGCAAAGACTGGCTGTAAATGCGTGTGGGGAGCTGAAGGTAGCTCCAGCGGGTTGGTCCATGGGCAGCTGCTGTCCTGCTCCCTCCCTGGCCACCAGCGTCCTCCGGCCACTCCGTGGTGCCGGGGAACCAGTGACGTGTCTAACCGGGGCTGCCGATGGGAAAATCCCCCCTGTTTTACCCATTTAAATCGTGACCTGGGGATAACGTCTTCATAGCGTCAGCGCTGTAGCTATGGGAATATGACTCATGCTGCCGGCACTGCGTAACTATTATAATATAAAAAATAATAATAAAAACGCATATACATGTGTATTATGTCGAGCAGGAAGCACACGTTACATAAAATGGATTAATGGAGGAAGTCTTTTCCATCTCTTTAATGTTTTGCATAACTGTACAAGAAGAATTGTTCAACTAATCCAGACTTTGACCATATTAGTGTTCTGCAGCTGAAATAAGATTCCCGTGCTCCTTATTTCATTAGAGCTGGTGGAAAAATATAAATTGTTGTTGGCTTGGGTTTTTTTTTTTTACAGGAATGTTTTCTTTTCAAGAAATACTATAAAATGTTTACTTTTAGGATAGGAAAAAGTGAAGCGAAATGATGGGTAAATAGTTCTTGTTCTCCAGCACCGCATAGCTCCGCCAGACACCTTTCCGGAGCTGTAAAGTCACTAAAGTGTTTAGGGGATGTCATAAACCCCGTGAAATTCTGACCCAAACCAGAACATTGCTTTTGATGGGGGAATCTTTTGATGGGAGGAAAAAAATCCCACTGGAAAATGGCAGAGGGTGCTGAGCGGGGATGCTCCCGCAGCCGCTCTGACCCCCCGGTGCCTCCCCGCAGTGCTCGGCACTCTCCAAGCTGAACGCGGAGGTGGCCTGCATCGCCGTCCACGAGGAGAGCGCCTTTGTGGTGGGCACCGAGAAGGGCCGGGTCTTCCTCAGCGCCCGCAAGGAGCTGCAAGCCGACTTCCAGAAGTTTTGCAGTGAGTATCTCTGCCGGCGCGGTCTTCTCCCATACCGTGGTTGGTGCTCCAGTTGTACCAGCCGGGAGCCCCACTGTGCACGGAGGGGTTGTGGTTCGGGGGGCACCGCGGCGCTGTCTGTCCGTGGGGCTGAGCGGTGTTCAAAGTGATGGAGAAAGTGGGTGGGAACTGCGGCCGGAGCCTCTCCCCTCCCAGGGAGGGCTCTATCTGCCTCAGCTCTCCTCTCTGAAAGCATCCCTGGGGTAGCACGAGGCTGGATGGCTGTTGTCAGCCTGTGGCAACATTGCCGGTGCGCCGGAGTGGCTTTTGAGGACTTAGCAGAAATAGATTGTCCTGGTGATCCCCCAGGAGCAGAGAGGCTTTCTTGGGCCAAGGCTTTTTTCCTGGTTTTGGAAAAACAGAGATGGATTTGGGAGCTGGGAGTGTTGGTTGTGGAGCTGCTTATTTTTTTGAGGGGCTATCAGTGGTGAAGAGATGACTTGAGCAAGAGCCATGGTCTCTCCAGTCTCAGGTTGGGGTCACCAGGTATCGCAGGGGCACGTGTGACTGGTGGCAACCCTCTGTCCTGCTGCCGTGCCTCTGCCGGCTCCCCGAAAACAGCCTGGGAGCTGAGAGGAAGGGGGAGCTGTGCTGTGGAAGGTGACCTGCATTTCTTGGATGGCATCATCCCTGGAGCACCAACCACTGCTTTCCCCGCTCCGTGCAGGAGCTGGGACAGGATCTGGCTTTGGTGCTGCGGGGGACCCCAGACCCCGATCCGCTCACACACGCTGCCCACAGCGGGATGTCGGTGGAGAGAAAGGACCCAGCTGTGTGTGCGCACACGTGGTGTTGATGGAAACCATATTGATGCTTAATCCATTGGCGAGATTGCTCAGGAAGGGTCCGCTCTAGTGAAAACATTAGCGCTGTAAAGCTGCCAGGGTGGCTGTCTGCTCGGGTTATTCGCTGCACGTGTGCGAGGTGAGCCGGCGCGGCTTTGCAGGAGCGGCTCCCTGCCAAGGCTCTGCTCTGCCCCTCCGTCCTGCCTGCCCTGGGCAGCTGCCTGCCACCTCCGCCATGCCATTCGTGCCCAGGAGAGCCGCCGCTAGTTATCCTCTGCTTTGGTGCATTGCGTTTTGCAGGACAGGAGGCGTTTTGGGGATGTTTCCTGCGTTTGTGGGCGACTCTGCCCTCCCCTTCCCACCACCCACGAGAGGCAGGGAGGTACCTGAGCGGTGAACCCGAGCAGTAGGATGGCCAACGAGAGGGAGCTCCCTCTTATGTATTAAATGCCAACTGCGTCTCCCTAGAGCTTGCAATATTGATGACCATTTGCAAATCTCACTTTTAGAAATATATATGTATATGTATATCCTGACCAGTGACCTACTGCTGTGCTGGGGGAAGGTGCCGGGCATTAGATCCTGATTTCCCTCTCCTTTGGTTTCATTTACGCCTTTGTCAAAATGAAACGGTCACGTCTGGTTGAAAGCACAAAATCTTGACAATGGAGTTTGGGCGAAGCGGCTGATGCTGGAGACAGGGTGAAACGTGATAACTCTGTCTTGAATTATAAATGGCCCAGGCTCAACTCCCCTCCATAAAGCTCTTACAACTGGCACGCAGTGGAAAGCATCCCTGGAAGTGCCTCTGATTTATGGTCTAGCTGCCCCCTTAGAAAGGATCTGAAGTAATCTAAAGCAGACATCGCTGGGAGATGTAAGAAGCCTCTTATCTCTCTGGGCGCGCAGACCTCGCTTGAGCGCCCTCCTTTATCTGAACCTCTGGCTCAGCCTTTCCTGGCGCAGGGGGGGAACTTGACAGTGATCAGGATTAATGTCAACGGAGGAGAGTTAGCGCCCAGCCAGGAGGGACAGGCAGTTGTAGGAGGGTGTGGATGCGGATGCATTTCACCACCTTGGTAAAACACCCCAAAAAAGTTTTCCAGGGCCTGTTTCCCTGCGCTGTGGGAGGGATGCAGAGCTTGCCAGGGGTTGCACGGTGTTGGGTGGCTGTCCCCTTTCTTATGTCTAGGTCTGTGGGTACCCTGGGTGGTCCTCGTCCCCATCCCAGTGATGTCCCAGCCACGGGCTCTTTTCATGGGAGGGATCCTCGAGCTCCTCCTTGAGTGCCCGGGCAGCATCCAGGACCGATCACCAGCAGGAGCCTGTCGAGGATGATGAAGGAATTAGTCTGCCACCGAAAATCCCTTGCGAATCGTTTTGGATAGAATGGCAATAATGTACTCGTAGTGTTTAATTTTCTGTGCGTTTAGAGATGCAAGGAAGTCGTTGCCGAAGATATGCTTTATTTGAGGTTTAATGGGGGAAATTAGCAGGAAATAGCTGGTATTACCAAGCTACGTGATGCTGAAGGGTAAAAAAGCCTCCGAGAAAGGCGGATTTTCTTTTCCTGAGAGATTGAAGGCTAAGCAGATTGAAACCAGAGAAAAGAAATGCGCTGCCCAATTAATCACAACAGTTTCAGTGCAGCTGAGTGGGTAAAACCAGGGAAGGGGGGGGCACGTGTGGGATGAGCTTGTCCCCGGCTGGTGGGGACCAACCCTGCTCTCGGCAGCGCTGCTGGCACCGCTGCCCATGCCAGCACCTTCCCCTGCACGCTGCGGGCTACCAAACACCGCAGCCCAATCTGAGCCAGGTGGGAGATGCAGGGGACCTGCCCAGAGGATTTTCCTGGCGCCGTGGGGGCGTTGAGGGGCCTGGCACCCATGGGACCCCCACATCTTGCATGGGGTTTGATGGGCAGTTTATTCAGCCCTGGCTGAAGTTGGCGTAACCCATCCAGCAGGTTTGATCGCTTTGCAGCCGCTCAAAAGCATGCACGGCGTCGCCCACAAACCCTCTTCACACCCCGGCGTCTCCTGTTTTCTCCTCTCCCCCCACAGGAGTCCAGCAGAGGAAGGAGCAGGACGCGGAGGCGCAGAAGAAGGCAAAGGAGTGCGGGCGAAGCGTGCTCAGGGTCTCCCCGGACCAGGGATCAGACGTGTACCTCCTCAGGAAGATGGTAGAGGAAGTGTTTGATGTGCTTTATAGTAAGAACCTTCACGCTTCCATTTGGGGATTTGGATTGCCCCCGGGGCTCGCTGAGCTGCCCGGCGCCGCTGCCAGATACGGCTTTTGGCCCCAGCCCGGCTCCCCAGCGAGGGAGCAGGCGCCTGGCAGGGACGGCATGGCGGGACGTGCTCCTGCGGAGGGTTAGCGTTGCGCTGAGATGGGACCCGGCCACTGCTGCTTCACTTTCCAGTGCCCTAAACTGGGCAAAAAAAAACCCATCCCCATGCTGGGGGAAGCATCCTCTGTCCCCTCAGCCAGGGGAAGCCTCTGCCGTGCTCTGAGTGTGATTTTCAAGCACACCTTTACCCCTGATGCCACGTCTACAGCACCTCTTTCAGAAGCGCTGTGTCGGGGCTCTGCAGAGACTCTCTCACCCCTTTCCCTGGCAAGTCTATTTAAAAGGAAAAAAGATGATTTTTCTAGCAGGCGGCCCCGCAGCCCCGACTCCGAGAGACGAGCTGGTGCCGTTCCAGCACATGCATCATCCCCGGCAATAAAGCTTCTGCAATTAAAATGTAGATGACCATATGGCTGTTGATATGTAACCCAGTGGGTTGCAGAGCTCCCTCCGCGCCCAATCTGCGGCGGCTCGAGCGGCGGCAGCGCCGCCTTCTTGCTCGGGAGGTCCCTGCTGGAGCCCCCAAGGAGTGGCTGGAGGTGGTTGCAGTGCTCCCGGCTCATCCCCCGGCAGCACCTCCGGAGCGGCGCTGGCGCGGGTAGGAAAAGCGAGGTTGGGTTGGGAAAACGGGGTGGTGAACCCCAATATTCCCCCATGCTGCTGAGCGGGTTGCATTAGCCCAGCGTGATGCTTTGGGGGGGAATTCAGGCCATGTGGCCGGACCAGCTACAGAAACGGGTGTTTTGCTTTCCTGGGTGCAACTCCTCATCGCCATTTGGGATTTGGAGTGTTCTGCCAAGCTCTGCCGGGGCCGTGCGGGTCTCCCTGAGCCTGAAGTGCAGGTGTTGCCCCTGTTTTTGTGCTGGGTTTGAGAAGAGGCTCTGCCACCACAGCAGGAGGGGGATAATGGGTGTTCCCACTAACCGCCCTGGGCTCACGTGCAGGATTCGCTGCTGCTGGCTGTCGCTCGACACTCGCCGCACCAGCGCCTGCCACAGGCTTCACAGACAGAAAGGGGAGATGGCATCCTTTTCCCTGGGGACGAGCCGTCGCTGAGGTTTTCTGAAACCACTTAGAGGACTTGGAGGCAATGTTCCCATTAACGGGTGTAATCAAATCCTCTCACTGCCTTCAAAAGGCTGGGCCCAAGCGGGAAGGAAGGAGAAACACAGCAGAGCCAAGGGAATGTGGCGGTGAGGGTGTTTCAGCGCTGGTTGGATCCCCGCTCTGAGCTGCACGTCTTGTCCTGCTGCCGGGAGAGTGCCAGGAATGTGGAAATTATTCATATGTGACATACCATAAATATATAATTGCATAAAATTGCTTGACGGGGGTGCATCTGTGTGGGGTATTCGGACCAGGCGGCCCATCCATCAGGATGACTTTGCTATGCTCTTTACCTTGTTGAGGTGCGCAGACATGTGTGGGGACAAGCTGGCCGGGTCCCCAACCCAGGGTGGCCGGCATCGCTGTGGGAGGAGGAGGTTGGGCATCCCTGGGCCGGTGGTTTTGGCCTGGCATTGAGTGTAATTCTGTCTTTGGGTGTAATTCTGTCTTTGGGTGAAATTCTGACATTGGGTGTAATTCTGCCTTTGCTGCTGATTCAGTAGGATCAGCCCTTTCCAGCTGCTGGATGGGGAAACCCGCCAGGCGGATGCTTCCCTCCCAGCATGCCCACTGGGAAGAGCCTCTCCTGGTTGAGTGGGGAGAAATACCGCAGGAGATAGTACGTGCCCCAGGGTGATTCTGTTCCCAACGCCGAGAGGACTGTCAGAAATTAACAGTTATCTTTCTTAAGGTTGGCGGTTTTTTTATCCTTTCAGTCACCTCCCATCAGCAGGGATTGGAAACAAAAAATCTTAGAAAATGCTCAGTCAAAAAGATCGAGTATTCCCTCCAGAGCTGGGTAATCTCCGCACCAACAGGATGACTGATTACCGCCGGCTTCTATTAAACAGGCATTAATGATGATTATTGTCTCTCTTTAGCTAAACCATGAGTCTCTGCACGGCAGCGTGAGGCTTGGTGAAGGTCACTTTGACAGTGATGCATTCCCCATAAAAATATCTTTGGGGAGTTGTTGAGTGTTGGGTTGATAAGGAGCCGCCATGGGCATTGGGAGCTTCTCCCCATCGTGAAGAGAGTTGATGGAGGGAGGTAGAAAGCCGCTAGAGTTGGTACATCGGAGCAGGGAAACTGTCAGTGCCCTCCAGGCTTGTACTCGTGGTGTTGTGGTACAAAGGTTTGGTTTGAAACTTCTGTTATTGGCTTAATTAAAACATCATCCATCCTGCCTATAAGGAACCTTGATGGCTCATGCAAGTCGCACATCGTTAGTTGTCACGCGTTGCTTCAAAGAACATGTTGAAGAAATCACTTTTAATAAGGACTTGCTGACAGTGCCACAAGATTCCCAGGGTTTCTGTAAGATCTTTTAGTGATGTTTCGTTTTTTTAAAGACGAGAGAAAAAAGAAAAGATTTTGAAGAAAAGCAACAATATAAAATCCCACAGCTATTTAAAGGTCCCATAATCTCCTCTGCCTGCCCCTCAACCTGGAGACGAAGGCACAGACACCTTGCCATGTGGCCAGATGTTCTGCATCTGGACAGTGCTTTGCCAGACAGGTTGCATTCCT